GATGGTGCTGGCCTCTTTTCAGTGGTGGCCACCGATGAAACTAGAGGTAATGGCCGCAAACGGAAGCACCAAAAGTTCCACCGGAACTTAAGGAAAAAATTCTTAGCAGTGAGGGTGACAGAGCACTGGAACAGGCTGCCCAGACAGGTTGTGGAGTCTCCTTCTCTGGAGATCTTCAAAAGTCCTGTGCCACGTGCTCTAGGTGACCCTGCGTGTGCAGGGGGGTTGGACTAGATGGCCTCTAGATGTCTCTTCCAACCTTAAGCATTCTATGATTCTAAATATTTGTCTGAAGTTTACATTAGAGCTAGCTTGCTTTGTTTGGAGTTTTATTGAGGGGAGACTGGTTTTACAAAATTATACATTTTCAGTAAAAGAGAATTTGGTCTTCCTTTATTTATCTGTCTTTTTCAAATTTTTTCAAAGCTGTGTGAAACTGGATACTCTCGAACCCTCTGAAGATTTAGACTCTTCTGTTAATGAAGAAAGCGAGGAAGAAAAGGAAGAAACAGTAGCTCTAGTTATTGAGGAATCAAAAGAAAAGTGGGATTGTGAATCGATTTTGAGTGAGTACTTTGGAGTTTTCATCTGTTCTCACATCACAAAGTAAATGGTCATTTCAGAACTTTTGGAACAGTACTTCTGAGTTGAATTGTTTATGCTTCTGGTACACAACAGCAGAACAACTTCTTAAAGCTGCTGCTTCTATGTAGATATGATAATTCTTGTAATTTTTTTATCTTCAAAAGTTAATAGTAGTGCATTTCATAATAAATATTTAATAATTTAATTTCTATTTGCAAGCCTGCCTTCACTATTGTTTTTTCAACTGTAGGTACATATTCGAACTTGTATAATCACCCAAAGCTTATTGAGGAACCATCTAAGGTAAAATCATGAAAATTATTCTCGGTAACAGGCAAGTTTGAGAATGGTTGAGGCAAAAGTGATTCCTTTCTCAACAGATGCCTGCTCCTGAAGTCATTATGTGAAGGAAGGAGGGAGCAGAAAATAGGGTTGGAGCATCTGATGTTATTTCTTCACTGAAGGATTTGGCTTTTCTATTAAAATGAAAAATTAGGAAGGCCTGGCTGTTGAATTTGTAAATCAGAATTTCTGCAATGGGCAGGCAGAAGCTATGGAGTGTCATTTCCCTGTTGTAAATTATATGACCAAGAAAGTATGTTTTACAACCACATTTAACAGTTTTGTTTTGAAAATACTTTTTATTTTTCTACATTTTTAGAGCTACTATTCAGAGCTACTATTCTGGTTCTTGGGTCTTCCAAGACCTTTTGCCATCAATATCAGAACATGGCTTGATGTTTCAGATGTGTGAGATTTTTGAAGGCAACTTTCTTCTTGAAACTGTATCAAGAGGCATTAGATGTGCATTTGTCGCTATTGTATAAAAGGGAGAAAATAGGGGTTTTTTGATCCCAGATTCTGCCTACAAGTGTTTGATTGATATCTTTGTGCTTGACATACATTTTTCTGTGGGGGAAGTCTAGTATGGAAAACTCTACACATTTATTACTGTCAAATCTGAACTGTACGTCATATTTTTACATTCTATATGTAAGATAGCGTGATATGTAATTCTTGGGGAGAAAGAGACTGTGTGTGTGGGGGCATTATACTTACTATATATATTATATTTTAGCCCAAACCAATCAAAATTTCCCAGAAGACTGGAATTCCCCTGCATGTCTTGCCTCAGAGAGGTCTTACAGCTAAGCAAGTTGAACGCATGCAGATGATAAATGACAGTGACCTGCCAAGAGCAGCAACACAGCCACGTTCCAAAAATGAGACCAGAGAGGATCGTAAAGCTAGAAAGCAGGCAATAAAAGAAGAACGAAAGGTAAAATGTACTCATTATTTAAGTGAAACCTTGAAAAATCTGCTATACAATAAGTTCTGTTTGATGAACTTTTTTAAAGCCCATTTGGTTTCTGTCTGGAAATAAGTGGGGAAGTCTTTTCATTCTCAAAGGCTAGTCATTGCTTCTTTTTAAAAAGTAAAAGCTACTGGAAAGGAAATAAACTTTGTAATTTTGTCATTCTGCTTTTCCTTTGGAATTTTTAGGCCTTTTATTGTAGCCACTATTGCATAGATAATAAGGAAATGTAAGGGCTTCTTCCAACATGTTGGAAGTAAAGTAACATTTCAGATAACACACAGTGGAAAGAAAGCCTTTGAAGTAAAGGGAAGCAAATCTGATTGGCCTTGCTGATAAATTAGCTGTTTTATACAGGAACAGGTATTGTCAGTAATTAGAGATGATAGTCCTGGAGGTGCACAGATTAATTTGACTATTTTAATCAGTGACCATAAGTTATTGTCCAGGTCACTGCCGTTTTCAGGATCTAGAAGAGTTGATTTGCATGATTTCTCTTTGCACATTAAGCCTATTTTGTAATTCTTTTATTAATTGTTTGCACAGGAACGTAGAATGGAGAAGAAAGCCAACAGACTAGCTTTCAAACTGGAGAAAACAAGGCAAGAAAAAGAGCTGCTTAATCTCAAACGGAATGTTCAAGGACTGAAACTGTCTTAATGAAACCAGGGAGCTTTCATGGTGGAAACGTGCTTGCTTTTTTATCTCTATTGAAAAGAGAACTGATAACGTTACAGATTTACCAGTCATGCAAAAAAAATTCAGATATTTCCGTAACGAGATCCAGCAACTTGTCCTTCTTTATGAACTGAAGTTATACATTCTGAACTGAAATTTAACGATGTATTAATATTGTTGCTTTTTGTCATAAATCACGAAAACTATTGAGAGTCTGCATTATACTAGATACGTATAATAAAAATATTTTTCTAAGTAGCTATCACTGAACCAAATTTCATGTTTGTTGAATATATTCAGCCAATCAGCAGAATTCTGCAGATTTGTCTTACTTGTACTCTTCTATAAAGTTATTTATTTGAGTTTCTACAGAGCTATATGTCCAGTTGTCTTCCTTCCATTATATTGACACTTAGGCAGAGTGCCTTGATCTAGCAGTCTCATAATTCAACAAGTTTTCATCCCTTTGTGTTTCTGTAGTCGGTTACTTATTGTTTGGGTAGCTTTATAAAAGAGAATAGATAGTGCTGGACAAGAAAATCGTTGGAGTTAGTTTTGCAGTTGTAGTAGGCAATGACCGCTCTTTACCATGGAAAGGAACGTTATTGCAAGTAGTCAGTAGTCAAGTGAATCTTTTGTGGAAGAAAATGTGATAAAACAGCACCTACTTGGTACAAAAGCTGGAAAAATACCTTCTGGTGCAGAGAGCTATCATCTTGATTTCCCTAAAGTATTATTTGTGAAGCCTTGCATTTTCTGGTTTCACTGAAATACAGATTCACGACTCTCCACAATTGCTGCAAAGACAGCTTTCTGAAAAGGGGCAGAGAACTTGGTCTGATCCTAAATTTCTGTAGTGTCCACGTGAGTAATTCTGATAGGGACCAGTCCTTTCATTCATCAGACTTATATTCAATCCTTATGAGCCCTCTGTATTCATGAGAGAGACCCTCACCTATAGGTTTGGGACTATAGATTGAACATACCTCTGCCCTTGGGTTGAAAGTTAACACTCTCGTATGGAGCACTAATCAATGCAGTAGCAGAGTGAATTGACTACTACTAAATTCAAAGCACCTTAAATATTCCTCTTTTGTGAGTACTCAAAAGCTAGGAGCTATTAGAAGGGCTGCTAAGGCGTTTTAATGTATAGAAACAATTAAAAGTATCTTTTGTTTGTTTGTTTCTTTGTTTTTTAGTGGAAGAAGGCTTTTGGAGTATCTTTGAGCTGGTGAAGTGAAACAGTTTTGGAAGAATATATGAATAGTTAAGTCCACAAATCTGATATATTCTGAGGAAAACTATTGATACAGTGTTTATATCTAGGCTAAGCCTCCATTTTATCAGAAATGTTACAGATTCAGTGTTAACCAGATGAACTGAAAATGACTGTAGTACTAGGGAGGCAAAGTTTGGGAGCTTTCATGTAGCTGGGGCACCTGCCTGGTTGTCCTGAATTCTGCAGGCCGTGGTGGAGCCAGCCTGTGTCACAATGTGAGGATTATTTGCTAACGTGTGCAGTACCTCACGCTGTCGCAGGTTCTCGGCATCTGCGCAATGAAGGCACTCCCCTGGTATTCATGCCTCTTGATGACAGCACCGAAGAGGAAAGTTGAGAAACCAGCGAATTGAGATGAGTCAGTTACCAGGAAAGGAGTTAAATGGAACAAGTGAGTAACAGATGCGGTTTAGTGTGTTGAATGAAATGTCAACAATGACATTTACTTAAAGAAAAATCAAGGAAAAAACAAAACGAGTTTTGCTGAAAACAGTGCACGTGTCTTTAATTCGTATGCTTTTGTGTAGATGAAAAGTCACTAATCCTCTCTAGTAGATTACCCTTTTCCTGGCTTCGCTTCACCGATTCAGCGATACTGGGCTTACCAAAGTAAGCTTCTTTTAGCCTAAACCTGCAGGGGACGAATGCAGAATAGACTGCGTGAGAGGCAGAGGGAGACACTTTAGAGCAGATTATGGCCAAGATGAATCATAGATGCACAGGAAGATGTTGCCTGGGAACAAGAAGGGAAGGAAATTTAAACTGATAGAGTGGTAGGATCAGTAAGATTGGAGAATTGCCTTGTTTCTCTTATTTTAACTAATAAAGATCTGTAGTAATTACTATATGCCTAGGGGTATGGCGAGATCTTGAGGAAGAGGTAAGAAACAAGGCTTGTAATTTTGTATAATTTGGAGATAACAGCTCATAAGTCTTACCACAAAGTCTTTTTATTTGGATACAGAGTCAGTTTCAGTAGGAATCTCTTCCAAATCTTGTGAAAATACTGTTCTGCAAGTTAGTTTTTTTTTTTCTTCTTCTTTTTTCTTTTTCATGTCTTTATGGAACGGGGTAAAGTATTTAACCATTAGCAGATGGTTAGTGTACGGGCTAGATGAGCTACGGACCCCTCTTAAATTGGACATCTGTTTATGTAGATATTTTGTGGTTAGTATAGGACTGAACTGATCAGGTCTATCTTCTCAGTTGGTATTTAGATGCATAGGACTAAATTTCGCATCTATAAAACAAGTTCTTGGGACACTGTTTAGCTCATCATCGAAATGATCTGTCTTAAGAATGAAGATCACGACACACTTAAGATGCTGTTTCTTTCTGGCGTAGTAAAAGTTCAGACTCTACCGTAACTGGGGACCCTAACTGTGACTTACAAGGGAGAAGGAATAAATGGGAACGGAAATAGCGTGCTCCTCTTCAGCCTTTCTCCCGGAAGCCCCGTGGAGCACCCTTGGGAACAGCCTTCTCTCTCCGTTGTGAGCTCGTGGCGGAATGCCTGGCTTCGCTGTCACGGGGAAACCACAGTCGGGTCTGGTTTCGATGGCTTTGCTCCTTATTGGTTGAAGCTATGGGATGTAACCAAAGCTACATCCGGCAGTGGGGCTGTATTGCTGAAATTCCATATGCTATTATTTAAAACATGTAGCTTGTCATAACTAGGAAAGGAACGGGCATGCCATGCGCCCTGGGAGACAGAGAGATTGCCAGTTGGCATTAACTAGGAGTTATTACTGAGTTGTTTTGGTTTACGAAAACTTAGGCATGATTAAGTATTAAAATTTTAAGCTAGGCTGTTGCTGCTATAATATATATCCTTACTAACAGAGTAGAAATCACTTCTGTAATTAAACTACAAATCTTATCCTTCCTAGAGCCCACTGTGCATCAGCAAAGCCTATCTATGCTTGGTGCTGCTTCTGCTGCTTCGTCCTTGCAGCTGCCAGACTTCTAACTCTTGCACCCTGACTAACACCTTCACGTTCCTGGGATAAAGAAAGGTGGAAGCTGAGGCGTTTACAGCGTGTTTACTCCTTGTGCTAGGGAAGAGGGGGAGCAGAAACCTGCCCTCTGACAAGAGTGGGGTGGGAGGAGAAAGGCTGAGCCTTTCTGTGTGAGAGAGGCAAAACATGAACAAGTTGTAAATGCTGCTAGGTCACCAAAAATTTGCCTTTGAGAACAGATTGTCTGATATCCAGAGTTAATGTTACCTGCCTTATGACTTTTTTTTTTTTCTCTATTTCAGCGGGGTGGGGGAAGAACTCTCAATCATATTTTAAAAACACTTGTGCTTCGTAGTAGCAAGCAAAATAGAGCAAGCAGGTTGCAAGAGGGAGCCCTGCAGCATGACTACAGAGGTCCCTTTTTCACAACACAAGTGGTTTCAGCAAGCAGGACCAAGTCCACCCTTTGATTCTGTTGTTGTCAAGAAGCCCTGTGTAACCAAGACTTTCCTGTTTTGAATTTTATATAGCTACTGGAAGCCAAGATTTGTTTCCTTGTGAAATCTGTGGAAGACATTTTGCACGAGATGTTCTGGTAAAACAAAAGTTTCTTTCTTTCTTGGGAATGTGGATGTGTTTAGCTGAAAGGGGTGGTGAGAACTGGGGAAAGAGGGGGTGGCTGGCAAGTGGAGAAATGGGTTCAGCACATGTTTGAAGAAACAAATTATCTAAAAAATGCTTTCATGAGTAGACTGGATTAAAGATTGGGTAAAAGTTCATAAAAATATCTGTGACTTTAGATTAAGTCTTGTATGATCTTTATTTACTTTCTTCCCCCAAAACTGTTGTTTACTTTTAAAATAACTTTTCAAATTACAATTAAAATAACATATCTATTTTAAAATAACATACCTATACTAGCTTCTTTTTTTTTGTTCCCAGGTTTCTACATAGAATTTGTTGTCATTTTAGGTTCCCTGGGAAAAATAGACCAATAAAGCAGCTGATACGTAGTTCCTTTGACAACACAATATTGGCACCAGGCTCTGCCCAAAACTTGCTGAAGCGAGTAACAAGATTCATATTGATGTCACTGGTGGCTAGATTTCAAGTAAATGGGGGCCTTCACAATTTGCCTAAAGCAACTTAACTTCAAGGTTTTTTAAAAGGGAAGAGGGGGGACTCTGCTTGCAGTCTCCTCCCTCTTATGGTTTTGGATTAGTGATTTGTGGCAATGTGGTAAATCAGATCAACCCCACAATATAACTGAAAAGTGACCCTGGGTGGGGAGCAGGTAGGACAAAAGCAGAATTAAGTGACGGTGGCTACTGAGAGTATTTCCACCTGCTGTGTCTTAAATCAGACATATGAAGAACAGGATCGTTTAATCCCACATTTTTGTTGGAGAAGCCAGCTATGTACAGTTATGCGCGGGAAGGAGGAGAGAGGTTGCTTGGCACCATGACCAGTGTGAGGACTAAGGCCATAACACCTCTCGGTGCCTGAATGACCTGGGACTGGCATGCTCGGGACAATGGTATCTTCTGTCCCTGTTGTCTAGCCGAGGAATTCTTTCAACTTTGCTGTCAAAAAGTGTTGAGGAACACATGATAAGGACTAGAAGCACAAGAGTAGCAAGGCTCAAGGGGAAATGAGAATTTAGAAATGCACATTGCAGTGAAAGGATGTGCTTCTGGGCTCGGCTGAGCTGTAACTGAGCGCTTTGCTCAGGCAGTTGCTTAAGTCTGGGAAGAGAGGGTGGGCAGCACAGCCAAACCAATGAGGAAACTGAGGCAGATGACTGAGAACTGGGGTAAGCAAAGGCTGATAGGAGTGGGCTCTTTAATTACTGTCTGTAAATGGGCTCTAAAAGGTGCGATCCATGACATGAAAGGCCGTGTTCTGTGTTCATTGCGAAGAGAAAATTGGCCGTACTCCTGCAGAAATCTGAGGTTAATGCTAAGAATCTGGACTACTGCGGAATCTTAAAACCTTATAAGCACCTGGATATCCATCTACCTAAAGTTTCTTTTCCTTTTGCTTTCAGCTGCACACAGTATTCTTACTTGTCACACTGAATTGTCAGGTCCCTGCTTGCTGTTAAAGCAGCTGCTCCATTTCATCTGGAGACAGTCCCTGTTTTAGTGGTGCTGATGGGATGAACAGTGCTGTTTGTCAGAGGAGCCCTGGGTCTGGAATGCTTATCTAAACTCAAAGAACTAATAATGTAAATATCAGCTCTTTGAATGGGATCAATCTGTTCTCTGTCTTAACCAAGAAAGAACATGAACTTGCGGCAGGGGAGCGTCCAAAGGGAGTGATACCTCTCCATAGCTTCGATCTGTTGTTCTCTGTCCTCCAGCATGGCTCAGAACAATGGGAACTGGAAGTAGGTTCTAGTTCTTCTTTCTCAAACCGGAGCGGTACTTTTTGACTACTTTTAAAAGTTTTATTGAACTCCTGAACATCCCTCTTCCTGCCCCAAAAGCCACTTCAGCTCTCTGTCCCCGGATAGAAATAGATGTAATTTTAAAGTCTTTATAAAAGAAACACCATTAACAAAGCATGACTTCAGCCTATAAATGCTTATTTTTCTTCGCATCCCAGATGCGACATGGGCCAATATGCAAGAAAGTCTTTAACAAGAAGCGCAAGCCCTTCAATTCTTTGAAACAGAGACTGCAGGGAACAGAAATTACCACAGTGAAAAAGCAGCCCCCACGAAAGGTATAGTTAAAGCTGAAGCTTATGTATTATCTCAGGTTGCAATCTTTCATTAACTAACACTATAGTTTCCTCCAGAGACAAAACCTGGATGTTGTGGATGAGTCTCACATAGGTGTTTGACTTGATGCCAAATCCTTTCTTTCCTCTCTTTCTCTGTGCTGTTACTATTTGTGAATATTTTTCAGTTCAGAAACAAAAGTAGTAAGTACTATGACTATTGTGGGCACACAAGTGTTTCCATTCTAGAAAATGCTCCTTTATATATTTTTGAAGACTGTACAAATTTATGACACATTTCTCTTCACTGAAATCTGAAAGGCAGCATCAACCAAGCTAGTCTGGTGCAAGAATGGCTTCCTTGGTTAAACATCAGAGCTATTAGCGGCCCCAGCTCTTATACAGATGAATTTGCAGAGATTCACTGGTATTGAAATCAAGGTTTTTAAATACATTTTAAAATGTATTCAAATTTAATTTATTTACAGAGTTGGAGGGGAGAATGTCCTACTTAAGCAAGGTTTTTTTTTATGCATACTTCAAGGAGGAGGTGAATGGACATGTACAATTTGTATATAATTTGAGCCAGAGATGTCAAACCATTATCGATTCAGTTCCATGCAGGCTACCATTGTAAAATGCCCTTGAAAAGCAGCTGGAGAAAGAGACAAAAGTGCACAAAGGTTAAAAAGGAAAGTGAGGAAAAGTTGAGAATAAAAGTAAGGGACTGAACAATGGAGCAGATGGGGAGGCCTTGATCATACTGCCTTTTCTCTTTCTTTTTAAGTACCTTGTGCTTAAACAACCTTGTGCCACAACTTTTGTTGGAGTCATCGTTATTTTCACCATCTTCTGCTGATGTCAGTAGATGCTAAATCAGCTAGAATAGCTTTCCTGAGCCTTTTAGAAAAGCAGGTTTATTCTGTTTGTACCCTTTTTTTCCTCTCTCTTGAAATTTTATTTACTTGATGACCCCTCTAATACATTTCTCTGTCCCTTGAAAGGTGGAAATAAAGTTTGTATCTTTCTTTGATTCCTTCACAGAACCAAATGGAAAGGAAATCCAACTGGAGACAGCACCATGAGGATTTTATTAATGCTATTCAATCAGCCAAACAAGTCACAAAAGCTATAAAAGAGGGCCAGCCTCTCCCTCCTCCTCCCCCACCAAGCGTTAATCCAGGTTTGTGGTCTAGTTTCTCTTATTATTGATCTTGCACACATTTTTAGTAAAAGAGTGAACTTTTATTATTCACAGCTGGGCTTCAGTTTTGCGCCCACCTGCGTAACCCAATGTGAACGTTAACTCCTTCCATACTCTCTCCATACTCTGTACTCCATACAGTCTTTCAGCTGCATTTCCTGGATTAAAGTGAGGAGGAGAAGAATGAAGAGCTGGCAGCGGGGAGGAGAAAACTAATTGCGCATCTAAAGGCAGGAAGACCTGGGTCTCGTACTCAGCCGTGTTTGAGGGAGGAGCCAGGATGCCTGTGTCCTAGCACAGATTGTAGCATGGTCTAGCAAGGGTGAAATGTGTTCCCTGACCACTCCAGATCACTGCTGTGTGCAAAGACTTCACCACCCCACATGGTAGCTGTTCCAACTAGCCACTTCTCACCCCAAGCGTGCAGTTAGGGGAAGTCATTTGGAAAAAAGACGGGTCTGTTTTACTACTAATACCAGGTGTAGCCTTTACACTGAGCTCACTGTGCTGGAAGTATGAATTCAGAAAGATATGCACACAGCAAATATTTCTCATGATTTATGAAATGTGGGAACAAGTTTGGAAAGGGTCTCAGTAGAGCTATAGAGGGAGGAACGCTTCTCTCGGCTCATTTACACAGCAAGAATTCATGACTGATACCAAAACCAGCTGTGGTGACTCTAGTCTTTCTCCTCTTCTACATGACAGCAATGCAATAAAGCAATGAGACGAGTTCTTTCTTGATTGGGGTCAAGCTCCTCTTTGAATTTATACTGTTGAATTCTTTAATTGCTGTGTTGCTTCCTGGCTCTCCCAGCTCTGACTTATACGTAGCTCTCCTGACTTTGAAGTACTTGTTTCTGCCAAGAAACCCGGATCTGTGATGTGCCTCAGCTGGCTGGGTGCAGCTTCCTAAGCAGATGTCCAAAGGAAATGGTTTTAGTGAAGATAAATAACAATCTTAACCAGTCTTCCAAAGTAGTCTTACATGGGACTTGTTTGTAAATATTGCTTTTTCTGACCATTTGTGAAATTGCGATGTTTGGAAAGGAAAAGGGGTAAGACAAAGGTGATATATTTTGCCTTTATTAATGTCCAGGAAGGTACTTCTAAAAGCAGTTGTTTGCGACTGGTGCCCCAGGTGTAGGACTGCGTCTCAAGCATTACGGTGCAAGCGCTCCTCCCACCTACCTGTGATACCACCAGTGAAGGAAGGCAGTTCTTCTCCAGTAGGGTATGATCTGTGACACAGCTTCTTCTTTTCTTGTTACCAGACTATATTCAGTGTCCATACTGCTTGAGAAGATTTAATGAGGCTGCAGCACAGAAGCACATCAAGTTTTGTGAAGAACAAGCTGCTCGCCGTGCCTTTGCAGCAGGCCCAAAGTCCACCAGACAGACTCCGGTAAGCAAACACATTCGTGCTTGTATTTTCTAGAAGACAGATTTTCCAGTGTTTGGTGAAGACATATTTTTTACATATTCAAGGAAGGCTGAAAGAACCTTAAGACAAAGTATAAACTGAAGTTTGAGATGTTCCCTGAAACTGGAACCTTTTGTCTGATATGAAAGTGACAGAACACAATTGACAGAACACAATAGTCTGGAAAAGTTATAGAATAATTTAGGTTCTTCTATGATCAGATTCCAGGGAGCAGTTATAATGAGACAGAAATATGGGCAGCTTTTGCAAAATCTAGAGAAAGCTCTTCCTGTTCATGAAGGTTCTTCAGCTGTTCTCTAAAAACTGATAGCTTATTTACTCCCTGGGTGTGGGACATAAAGCTGAGGAGCTCAGCTGCTTGGAGAGCCAGAAAAGTGGAGCTAATTGGTTGTGTTTTGATGTAAGCTCACTTTTATCTATTTCAGTAGGATGATTAGCTTCCTAGTGGAAGGAGGGCACACCTTATTTGTGGCCCTTCCTAGTGCTGCTTCATCAGTGTTTTGGAGAGCTGTGATCAGGTTCCAAAAGCCCTTTGCTAGATCTGAGTGTGCACTGTGCTGTCTTCTTCTCTTACTAGGGCAAGCAACCAGTGACTCAGAAAAAGAATCCCACCTTAACAAGTGCTGTGTTATCACTGCTTCAAAAGCGAGCACAAGAAGCTGGCAATACAAATGAACCTAGGCCGGGTAAGGAGTAGTATTCAGACATATTTAAATTTGTCTGATAGTAAATTCTGGTATATTGGAGGTGGTAAAGTTTTTTTTTTTTTTTAACAGAAATTGGACTTCAATTGGACTTTATTTTTTTAAGTCAAGAACTTGAAATCCTAGCCTTTTTATTCCAATGGCAAGGTGGAAGATGAGAAATTAGTGCTGCTTTGCATTTAAATGTTGTTGGGTTGATATGACTTTCTCCCTGCCAATTCACTCTTAAAATTGATAACATTAACCACATCCCTAAAATGGTTCCCTTTAAATAAGACTCTCTCTGTTTGCTAGCACTCACTTCTACCAATAATTGTAACCTACTCAGTTTGTAACTAAAAGGTTTTTTTCAAAGTTATTTTAAAGGCTATTTATAGATTAACATGTGCATGAAAATACATACCTCTCTTAGTCCGTGAATCAATATCTTTGTTACATGTTGAATTCACTTATATAGTAATTTTATGGCCAATACATTTTAAAAATAATTATTTACAGAGGCCACTCCTGGGGTGCTGCAAAAAAACAGGAAATCTTTGGGTGCATCTACTGGAAAAAAAACGTCAGGAGATCATGGGTAAGGAATGCTCTTTATTTCAACAGAATAACATAGAAAGACCTCACCGGCTTCTGTGTATATGCCATATCCTGGTGCTGTGTTTATGCTAACATCATTTTTGTGGTAATTAAAGCAATAGATTGCATTGGAAAGTTCTTGCAGAACTCCTCATGTCCCCTCTACAGGCTGTTCGGAGTTATTTTGGTGCTAAATGCTCTTCAGCTTTTGGGGCAACTCCATCTGAAGTAGGCAGTGCTTATATCCTTGTAGTAACAGCCATCTCAAAAGTGTTTGGTTCTTGACAGTGCAAGCTTCTCTTGCAGGCCTTGTGTCCTCCTGTTGTGGCCACGTTTTCCAACTGAGACAGACACATGGCCACGCAGAGCCATGTCAGTGCAGCAACAAGGGGCTTCCAGAGAAAGACAGTTGTAGTGCTGTGCTGCAAGGGAATGGCTTCGATGATCAGCTTCTTGCACCCCTGCCAGAAACTGTTCACAGCAAAAAATGAGATCCAGGCAGGGAATGTGGCCAAGAAAGCTTTCCTATAGCTGACAAGTTATTCTGAGCCTGGAAGATGAGCTTATAAGACTGTTTTGTCCTTAGACCCTGGGATGACTAGTAATGTGCACAAAAATTTTGGTGCCAGAGACATTCTGTCCAAAGGATCAAAGGAGCTTCTGCTCAGCCCCCTCACTTTTGCCAGCAATTAAGTCACACAGATCTGGGGTTGTAGCTGAAGTTTAAAGAGGTCTGGGGCAACCCATGTCTCAAGCAGGTCCATGAATTAGACATCCACATTAGCATTCAAAATACAGAATAACATCCACATAAACCTGTTGGGACAATAAAAAGGCAATGTTTCTTCTCCTACCCTGCATTGACACAGTGCCTATTCCTTCTCATATTCCTGTCTGCTTTTTGCATCTTGGGCATTGCCTCCCCATACCAGTTATTAGACAAGTGCACAGGCCTTCCTTCCACCCTCTATTCTAAATGGTTTATCATTTCTCTCTTCTAATGGCTTATTAGCGATGAATAGACCAAAATCTCAGTCAAATTGTGCTATTAAGGTGTGGAGTTCTCTCCAGAAGCTGCGCAGGCTGTAGAATGGGATAATGCAAAGCAACCCATGTCCAGGCTGTCAAGCTGTTTATATAGATATAATAATCTGATGAATGGAAATGGAGAATACACATTGTAAAATAATATATAAAAAGAATATAAAAAGATCACATCCCAATCTTTCTTCACTTTTACGTTAAAGATAAGTCATGGTCAGAAGCAAATGTATACCTAGCCCAGTGTACCGTGCTGAAGTGTGCCAATGGGGTGGTTGGAGATCTCTATGGTTTAAGGAAGGATAGATGGCATGGTCCCCAGCAGTGTCCCATTACCTGTGTCACTGCCCAGAACCTGGACCAGGAGAGTGAACTAGATCCTTGGCTCAACCCTGCTAGTCCTAGATGGGCAAACACATGGGCACAGCTTCAGAGAAGCTGTGGGAAAGGTAAATATCTCTATAATGTTCCTTCCAAGGATTGCTTTCATTGTAGTGAGGACAGTTCTTCTGGGCATTCTCGGTAGAAAGTCTGTTGTTTTCAGGAACACTACTTTTGTTTTGTGGCACTTAGAGTGGTTTGAAGCTGGGGCCGCCACTGCTGGCAGCAAACCCATCAGCAAACTGGACAGCCAGCATGACAGGATCGCTATGACCATCTGCTTCAGGGCAGCACTGCTGTAGAACAGGTGTAGGTGAGCTTGAGGAGTCGGGCAATGGAAGAGAAACAGGAACAAATCCAGGGTGTCAAGATGAAAGGAGCAGAATGAAGATGCAGTGGATTGCACTTTGTGCTTTATAACACTGTACCAAAGAAGTCTTACAAACTGGGAGGGCTTCCTGGGACTTATGCTGTGCTTGATATCTGCTGGGGGACTCATGCCAAGTGGGAGGAAAGCGTGTTTCACCTCGCGTCTTCGTGTGCAGAGCCCAAAAGGGGATATCTGTTTTTCAGTGTCATCGTTTTGTCTTGAATATATCTGGGTTGCTGCTGCTCTAAAACCACTTTAAGAATTGACATAGCAAGCATGTATTCTGTTACAAATTGCTGACGCAGGTTTAGCCAATGCGTAGGAAATAATTTGTAACTAGAAACGCAGAAATCAACTTTTCAGTCTGGGAATGAAGGATCTGCTTGTGGGCTGTTGGATACCACTGCATTTTCCATAGCACTTGAACTTTGCCAGGTGCTGGATGGGGTCCGGGCTAGTACGAGATCAGTTTCAGCGTGAACCAAGAGCGCATTTTAGCTGAGAAAGCTGCCATGAGAAACAGTGGCTTTCAGCAGTGCAAATCTCTCTGAGGAATATTAAATCTGAAAGGCAGTAAAAGAAACAACCAGATGCCAGACTTGCCTTATTCTTGTTGTCGGTATGAAAGGTAGCTGAGTAAAATTAACTTTTCCATAAACTTAATTTCACTAACTTATAAAGGGTTACATTTGTAACATTTTACAAGGATTTTGGGATGAAAAAGGTGAAGAAAATATGTCAAGACAGTCTAGATCACTTCCAGAGAGAATTATGTAAGGTCATAAAAAGTTAAATGTCAAAAATTTACATTTTTTTTCTGAAAGATCTTAACTGTTGTCTAAATTTTTGAAAAGTAAACTTTTTCACATATATTTGCCTTGGTTTAATCTTATATGTAAAATGAAGTAAATATAAATGGTGTTTCTATACCGATAAGTAAGTATCTTGTTGTCACTTACAGACTGCAAACGCACAACAGAAAATAAAGTGGTTGGTCACCAAGGACCTGGAGGTCTTCCTCTCAAGCATTACTGAAGATCCTAAGAATGCAGTTCTCCAACACCTCTTCCTCTCACAGCTGTCACAGCTTAATACCTTGAACATAATAGTAATAACAACAAAATGTTACCATATGCAATAATGGTAACAATAAAGTAAGCAATCTGAAATTCCTTGTCCTACTTTGTTTTTTCTTTCTTAGCTATAAGTTACAAAAGCTTTTTACAAAAAAGCTTTTCTTATAAAAGCTTTTTTTTAAAATGTTTTATTCACTTCCTTGAATTGAATTGATTACCTTAAAGAGAATGTTACCAGTGGTTTAAACAAAATATAGGAAGACCCAGTGTCATGCAGTTTTTCCTAATGTTTTGCTTTGACCAATTGAGTAAGATAGCTGAGAGTTGTGGAACTTAATGTACAAACTTCATAGCATATTTCGGTAAAAGGGGTAAATGGTGGGACTAGCTGAGCACACCGTGCATCAGCATTAAAGAACTTAAAGATCTGACTAACTAAAACCAATTTGCATTCTCCCATTAAAAAATTAATTGCCATCAGAAAATGATTGCTAAGACGCAAATATGGAGGAGGCACACTGCCCTTTTTCCTCTTTGATCAGATTTACAAGGCCAAGTGCAAGGTTCTGCACCTCGGGAGGAATAACCCCAGACACCAGTACAGGCTGGGGACTGACCTTCTGGAGAGCAGCTCTGCAGAGAGGGACCTGGGTGTCATGGTGGATGACAAGTTGACCATGAGGCAGCAGTGTGCCCTCGTGGCCAAGAAGGCCAATGGGATCCTGGGGTGCATTAAGAAGAGCGTCTCTAGCAGGTCGAGGGAGGTGATCCTGCCCCTCTACTCAGCCCTGGTGAGGCCACATCTGGAGTATTGTGTCCAGTTCTGGGCTCCACAGTACAAGAGGGATGTGGAGCTGCTGGAGAGAGTCCAGCACAGGGCTA